TCTTGCATGCGAGCAAGCATCCCTGTTTTTCGCTGGTCGCCGCCCTGATCGACCCGCCGCCCCCCATCGAGCCCATCCAACCCCGGCTGCGACCAGCGCTCCAGCCAAGTTTAATTTCCCTTTCTCTCTCTTGTTTGCCCCCAACCGTCCCCTCAGCCCAAACACACTCAGCCAGAGACGAGGACCCTTGACGCCTCACACCGATACACCACCGTCGCCGATAGAGTAATCCTACCGTCAGTCAGTCAGGCCCGTCACTCGCCCATACACACCCACTCCAGCAATCACCATACTTTCGACATTCACTCCCTTCCGCCCATTCTCCTCTCTCTCTCTCTCTCTCTCTCTCTCTCTCTCTCTCTCTCTCTCTCTCCCCTCTGCGCCGTGCTGGTCTGCCGCGAGCCTTCCTTCTCTTCGCCCCTCCGCACGCTGCACGCCGAGCATGCTGTCGTCGCGCCTTCTCTATTTCGCTCCCACGTAATATCCCACCCACGTCCCTCGCTCGCGCCTGCCATTTCCACTGCTGCCAGCTGGGGAGAACGGGCAACGACGACCGGCTGTTGCGACGAGGACGCCTCTCTCCCCCTCCTCCTCTCTCCTCTCTCCTCTCTCCTCCCCCCTTTGCTTGAAGCATGATCACCACGTCCATGAGCGAACGCAGACGAAGCGATGACCATGGCAACGGCACCACCACTACCACGAACAACAACACTAATAACAACCTCACCTCGCCCTTTCTGCGCCCGGACGCGGCAGTCCATGGCACCGCACATACGCCCGCCACCGCCACCGCCACCGCCACTGCCCCCAGCCACCTCAGCCACCTCAGCCACACCAATCGCCTCTTGCCCTCACCGATTCCACCGCAGACCGCTTCGTCGATAGGCTCCACCCAGCAACGCCCCCAGTCGCGAGTCAGCGCCGTCTCAGGCTTCTCGAGAGACAGCCAGAGCGAGCGCGCCGCCGTCCGCCAGAGCCAGAGCCATTCCGTCTCGAGCACCCCGCATACCCTGGCCTCGTCGAATCGCAGTCTGAGCGCGAGCGCCGAGAACAGGGACAAGCATCGTGCCGTCAACACCCTGCCGCCATGGATCCAGTCGGCCGATGAGG